GAATTCGGGCAGTTTGAGAACGCAGGTCTATGTCCGAAATCGTTCTATTTATCGGGATTCTTATTTAATGAAGCGTCTAAATTTTGATACTGCTTGATGCTAAATTTTTTGCTCACTGCTGGAATGCAGAGAGCTGAAGATAAGTTTTAAAAGAACACGTACAGCTAATGCTAGAATTTTTTATACTAATAAAGTACATACATAGCTGTTTCTAGCTATTGGCAGATTTCATGCAGTTAATGCTAAATGTTTTTAGTTAATGATACAGTTCAGACAACCAACTGTAGGTTTCTAATTGTTAATGTGAACTTACAGCCGATTTTTTATATTTTTAGGTACTTCTAGCGTCCACACAGCTGATGCTAGATAGTTTTGGATGTTGATGGAGCTCAGAAAGCTCATGTTAAATGTTTCTAGTTAATGATACAGTTCCGACAACCAACTGTAGGTTTCTAATTGTTAATGTGAACTTACAGCCGATTTTTTATATTTTTGGGTACTTCTAGCGTCCACACAGCTGATGCTAGATAGTTTTGGATGTTGATGGAGCTCAGAAAGCTCATGTTAAATGTTTCTAGTTAATGATACAGTTCAGACAACCGACTTTAGCTGACGCTAGGTGTATTTGGTTAATCGTATATTCGGTTTTTTATTCGTTCTTTGTCATCTTCCTTTATTTGTTTCTTATACTAACGCACATTATGTACATCAAAATATTTATTTGACCCGTGTGTTTGTTGTTGTTTTTTCTGCTGGGAACATAAGTAAAGAGCACAATATACCATCCGTGAGACATTAAAGTATTTATTTTTCCAATTGCTTCTTCAATAGTCACTCCTAATTATAATTAACAAAGGGAAACATAGATATTTTCCTATCGTGAAAAAGTTGTAATTGAATGAATTATTTTTTGGACTGAATACTTATTTTCCTGTTTACGAGTTTTAGGATCTCATACTGGACTCGTCGTCAAATCTTGTTGTAAACGAAGGCTCTAAAAAAAGAGTTTGTTTGGAATTAAGCACAAAGCTACACAATGGGCTATCTGTGCTCTGCCCACCACGGGTATCGAAACCCAGTTTCTAGCGTTGTAAAACCGGAGACTCGATGTATAAGCTGCATGTACTTTAACATAAACAAGCCGTCTTTATCCGGCGTTGCCCGGGTATTACCTGAAT